GCCGCCTCCCCTACAGGCCAGGCCACACCCCTTACAGGACATGTCACACACCCCCAAACAGGCCAGACCACCCCCCTACAGGCCAAACCCCCCCCTACAGGCCAGCCCACTCCATTACAGGCCAGCCCACCCCCTGACAGGCCAGACCACACCCCCTACAGGCCAGACCACTCCCCCGACAGGCCACTCCCTCATGCCTGCCACCAGGCCACGCCCCTACCAGTCAGGCCACACCCCCAGCCCCTCGCCCCTCCTCCTGGGCTCCTGTGAGCACCCCAACGCCCCGCCCTACCTGGCATGATGTGCATGAGGGCGGAGGGGATGCGCGAGGTGAAGAGCAGGAGGATACCGGGCAGGGCTGGGCTGCAGGCGGCCGCCAGGAGCAGGTAGAGCGCCGAGGACGCCAGGAAGGACAGCGTGAAGGCCGCCCGCGCCCCTCGCTGGTCTGCGAACCTGCGGCGAGAGAGACAGCCCTCACCCCTGAGACTGCGGGGGGCCCACTTTGGCAGCCCCTCATAAACTGGGACAGGGCCCTCATTCCGCAGCTCTCACAGACCAGCATCTCTACACAGGGGCCCCACGAGGCCCCTCACCCAGCCCTCTCTAGTCAGCCAGCGGGGGCTGGGGACAGGGCATGGGCCCCTGTGGGGCTTTGGTGCTCCCCCAGGGTAGTCCTCCCTCCTCTTCGGGCTCAAGTACTCCATTGTCCCAGGGGCCTGGAGGGGGCAGTGACCAGGGTGTCCAGCCTTGGTGTGCATCTGCACTCCCTGTGAACACTGACTGTGGGGGTAAGGGCACCCCAGGCTCCACGGTGCTCCCACTCTCCTGCCCATCAGCGTTCTTTCTGGCAAGGCGGGACCCCAGATGCCCTCCTTCTGATTTCCTGCCTCCACCCCGTGTTTGCTGCAGGCCTGACTCCTGCATGCTGTGCTGTGATGTGACTCCGTGGCTGCCGTGTTCCTAAGACCTGTGGGGATGTGGGGTGCAGTCCTTTGGGGGCCTTGCCAGCCCTGACTGGTCCCTGGAGTTGCCTCTTCAAGAAAAACTGCTTGTGAGCTGCCCTCCTTAGGGGGCTGGGGGGCATTCACATGTGAGCTCCCCCACAAACCAGAATTTAGGGAAAGCAGAGAATCTGAGCACAGAGGCTCAGCTGCGGGCTCTCAGGAGCCAAAGCTGCCCGTGACATTGCCCATGTGGGCTGCAGGTGGGGCAGAAAGCCCAACAAGACCCAGCCTGAGCTCCCCAGAGGGTGGGCGGAGTCATACCCCCAGGTACCTGCCGAACATGGGCCCACCAAGCAGCTGAAGAACCCCGAAGGTGGTCTGCAGGTAGCCGAAGGCGATGGAGTCCAGGCCGAGGCTTCGGGTCAGGTACTGAAACATAGGAGGGAATCCATGAGAGGGACCCCAGGACGGGACTGTGAGGCGTCACCCACTACAGGCCACCTGAGGCAGTGAACATTGTCCACTGATTGTCCCAAGCTCCTGGATGACATCTAGGACACAGCCTTGCCAGCTGGATATCACATCATGGGCTGCCCGGCAGCCCCCAGCCCACCAAGCCTCTCTCCCACCAGGGTGACCATTCAACCCCCCTCTACAGCACTGTGCTCAGGAGAGACCCAGGCGTGTCTCCCCTCCCACCCCTACTGCTCCGGGGCGGTCACCCAGGTGTGCTGCAACTCTGACCTCTCCCCTCTGTGACCCCTGGCTCTGTATTCCCGGGTCACCTGTGCCCACGGCACCTTCACACCTGGCTCCTTCTCACCCCACCTGCACTCACACCTCACCCTGGCGTCATGCATGCACCTCCTCTGTGTTGCTGGCTTCTAGAATGATCCCTGTCTCATTAACCTGCTGCCCTAACACTTGGGTGTCTAAAAGCACCTCCAAATCAATAATTCCAAAACGGGGCTCTTAGCCTCCCTAGAATGGCCCCACCTGGGTGCCAGCGCCTCCAGCCTTGTGCTGTCACTGATGAGCCCACACCTGAACCCTCAGTAATCCCTACAAGGGACCTACACTACAGTCACCTCCTAGCCCCCTCAGGGCCACCACCACGGGTCACCTGTCCCCCCACAGTGCATTTATCACGTGACAGTGTAAGGTCCACGAGGTAGAGCGGCTTCCAAATCAGTGTGCCCCTCCTGGGGCTCCCCCATGATGAGGCCCCAACTCCCCTCTCCCTCAAGCCCTGCTCTCCCATCTGGCTCACAGGCCTACTGCTGTCCCAGGCTCTGTCCCTTGTCCCTCCCTGACGCTCCCCATTTCCTCTCCCTGCCAGTGGTTCCCCAGAGCAGTTCTGCACAGTGCACCGTTCACCTGAATGCAGAGCGTGTACCCCCAGACCACGTGTTCCTGTTACAGACAGGGCACCGTTCACCTGAACACAGAGTGTACCCTCAGACCACGTGTTCCTGTCACACACAGAGCCCGTTCACCTGAACACTGTGTACCCCCTGACCACGTGTTCCTGTCACACACAGAGCCCGTTCACCTGAACACAGAGTGTACCCCCAGACCACATGTTCCTGTCACACACAGAGCCCATTCACCTGAACAGAGTGTACCCTCTGATCACGTGTTCCTGTCACACACAGCACACCATTCACCTAAACACAGTGTACTCCCTGACCACATGTTCCTGTTACACACAGCACACCATTCACCTGAGTGCAGAGCCTACCCACTGACCACAAGTTCCTGTTACACACAGAGCACTGTTCACTTGAGTGCAAAGCGTACCCCCTTACCACTTATTCCTGTTACACACAACCTTAGTTCTTTTTTTTTAAAGAGCATTTACCATTAGTAGTATCTATTACAGAGCTCTGGTGTCTAGTGACAAGGAGCTGCACAGCCAACCCAAAGGTACAAGGTTCGAATCTAACAGCTGCTCTGAAGGAGAAAGTTGGGCAATCTCTGCCCATGCCATTTACTGCCTCTGAGAACCCGCTAGCGGGTCAGCTCTGGCTCAATGTCTACTATCACAAGTGGGCTCTGGCGGCCTAGGGTTAAGAAGCTGCAATTCCAAGGGCATGTGGTTCAAATCCACCAGCTGCTCCACAGAAGGAGGACGGGTAATCTCGTCCCATGCGATTTCCTGCCTCTGAATACCCGCTGAGGGTCGGCAGTGGGTCGGTTCCGACCCCACGGCACAGAGCAACAGCAGCGCCTACTGTCCACAGAATGGCAGTGCCTGATTCACTGATGGTTCTTTCTCAGATGTTCACGTGTGGATCATTAGAAGATCAGATTTATCCGGATGCCGACGAGCACAGGCAGCTTCGGGGACAGACCGTAGCTGTGGCCTGGCTCACAAGCGAGGAGGGTGTGCTGGTGCTCACTCTGCGTCCGTGTCACGCTCTGACCACCCTGCAGTTGTGCAATCCACTATGGGAACAGATACACACTGGCTGTCGGCTCTGGTTTCATGCTCGCCCACTTTCCGAGATCCAAGAAAGCGAAGACCTCAAAGCTTTGTTTCTACACGGGACTGCAGAGCACTCCCTACGGGAGCTGGGAAAGAGGGGAGCAAACCTCAGCCCCTGCTCTGCGCGCCTGATCCAGGTCTCCAGCAGCTCCCTCGGTGTCCTGCCCTCTGAGCACACAGGGAGAGGCTGGCATGGCCATCTTCTGATGGACACACGAAGGCTGATGCCCAAGGTCGCAGCGCTCAGCCGAGAAAGAAGTGGGTGCACACCCGGGCTGCAGAGGTTTCAGGAGGGACAGGATGGACTCTTTGGGGGTTCAGTGTTTGACCAGGAGCCCCTGCCACGCCCTGAATGACAAGGAAGGCTCATAGCCCTGCACCTCTGTCCCCCGTCCCAGGTGGTGAGGCTGGTTGGAGGGGAAGTGGCCAAGCTGGGCACACAGGAAGGCTGGGAGCTGAACCACCCCTCATCCAGGCCCAGCCTGTACTTCCTGTGTATGTGGCCCATCCTCAGGCATCTCTGAGCCTCAGATTTGGGGGTGTGAGGAAGGACCTGGCCTCAGGACCACTTCCTCACCCCATCAGGTACTGGAAGCCATGATGCTGAGCTCACCTCAACGAGCTTCTCCCAGACCTGGGAGCTTTGAAAAGTGGCTAAGGTTGCAGCCTCACCCAGACAAGACAGCAGAGGAAGGGACCCAGGGACAGCTGGCGAGGGGGGTGGGCCTTGCTACCTGGTTCCTATTGTGTGTCAATGTGGACCCTGTCCTTGATATAATGTAACTGTTCCTGTTGCTGTGTACCGTAGAGTCGGAACCGACCCATTCATAGCTGACCTTCAGGCGGGTTTTCAAAGGCCGATTACACAGGAGGAGATAGCATAGCCTTCTCCCGCGGGGAACTGGTGGCCTCCAACTGTGTGCCTTCAGAATCGCAGTGCAACATCTTGCCACTAGGCCCCCAGAACTCTCTATAATGTAACTAGGTGTTGTAATTTTTTAATTCATTCATTGTTGCACAATTTTCTCTCTCCCCTCCTGTCCCCCTCCCCAGTCCCCTTTGCAATGCACCTCTTGTTCCAGATTGCTGTTATACAAGTAACACCTAATCATATATTCCTTTCTAACAGTTCTTTCCGTCATCTGTTCTAACGCAGTGTTCATTACTGTTCACTCTTTTCCTGTTCTCTCCACACCCCCATATCAGTCGTGTTTTAAAACAGCAGTGTTAGGCAGTATTTGTCCTTTTGTGACTGAGATACTTCACTAAGTATAATGCCCTCCAGGCTCCCCCATGTTGTGTAATGTCTTATGAATTTGTTGGTTTTCGGTGCTGTGTAGTATTCCATTGTGTGAATATATCCTAGTCTTTCTATCTATTCATTTGCTGATGGGCACTTGGGTTGCTTCTGTCTCTTTGGTATTGTGAATAATGCAGCAATAAACATGGGTGTGGTTAACGCTCTCTGAGTTGTGGGCCTGGATTCTTTAGGGTATATGTTCTTAATATGGAGTTGCTGGGTCAAATGATATTTTTATTTCTAACTTTTTGAGAAAGCACAAAACCGCCTTCCATGGTGGCTGTATCATTCCATGCTCCCACCAGCAGTGACTAAGGGTTCCAGTCTCCCCGCAACCTCGCCAGCATGTGTTGTTTGCTGCCCTGTTGAAATTGCTATTGTTGCTGTTGTGTTCTAAGTCCTAACCTTTGTGACAGGGTTCCCAGCAGGCCTGGAAGGACAGTGTGAGCCCCCTCTGATTAAGGACCGGTCTCCTCTGGAGCCCGCAGCCTGCATGGTATTTATGTTTGGACCCCGGCAAAAAAAGGGGAAAGCTTTCTGTCAGATCCTTATCCACCTATGCCGCCCATGCTCTCCAGCCTGGAGCCCCTGGCCTGCTGGGCTTGCCCCCTTTGGCCTCCAGAGTCCGTCTGCAGAGCCAGCAGCCTGAGGCCTGCCGCCTGCTGATGTCTGGGATGTGGCCTCCCCGGACGCTTCTTTCTCGAGGTCTGACCTACAGGACTGGGGCTTGTCTCTACAAACACATGAGCCATTTGCTTGAAATAAATAATTCTCTGTCTCCATCTCTGTTACCCCCCACCCCCCCAAAAAAAAAACCCTCCATGACGCTTCAAACTCATTGTCATCCATCCAGTCGGTGCCAACTCAGGTGACCCTCCATAAGGTTTTCAGTGGGAGGCTGTAAAGTCACAGGAGATGACTGCCCAGCTTTCTCCTCTGAAACTGGTGGGGGGTTCAAGCCATGAGGGAAATGCTGCCTTTGGATCAGCAGTATAGGGCACAGCTCCTCCAAACTACCCCACAGAGCTCCTCAATTCCGTCTACCCATCTATGCATCATCCATCTGTCTATCCATCCATCCATCCATCCATCTCTATCCATCATCTATCTATCTATCTATCTATCTATCTATCTATCTATCTATCTATCTATCATCTATCTATCTATCTATCTATCTATCTATCTATCTA